GCAATAGCTATTTTTTTTTCCTGCAGGTTGTTGTGTAACTGCMTTGATGTGAGTTACTGGCACCAGGTGAAACAGAGCACAGACAGGCTTTGACTGAATGCATGTTTGAAGGAAATGCTTCCTAGTCTTGTGAATGCTAGGGGTAGAGTCTGCCTTGAATAGACTTCATTTCAGTCTGTTTCATCTGCATTAGGATCTTAACAGGCACTGCCTTGAATAGACTTCATTTCAGTCTGTTTCATCTGCATTAGGATCTTAACAGGTACATTTCTTTTCCAAATGTGCAAATGGTGGGCCTAGGACTTCAAATACCTCCCCCCATCTCAGCTCTGACACTTTGCAGACTAAAAGCGAGGAAAKATTCATTTTCTAATATTCCTCTTAGCCTGCTAATATTCCTCTCATTTTAACAGAAATWAGAATGGAGTGTGCAGATCTAGATGGATTTCTGCTAGACCCTTAAGTAACACTGTGCTTTGTTTAAAAATGGAGTTATTTTTTGCTAGGTTYAGGCAAGAGCCCATTGTTTGATGTCCACCACGATTAAATGTTTACTATTTTCACTGGACCCTCTTGTCTCATGTTAAGTGGGATGTAAGATCAATAGTGGCTCTGCAATTATTTGTCCATTGATAAAGCCTTCATTTCTCAAATGAAGTGCATTTATCTGTGTCCTGGCAGTGATGAGGGAGCAGTCCCAGTTATCTGCTGCCTAGCCTAGCATTTAGCTCCACAGCTGGACAAGTGTCTGGACAYGGGTCAAATGATGTCTAACTTTCTTCCTATTGGCATTTCACTTTACAAACTGCCATGATGGGAGRTTTGACAAATCATTCTTGCTGAGTTCACATAATAAAAACTAGCAGGACAAATGGGAAGTTTTCGTAAAGAGAAAACAAAGGCTGATTTCAGGTTAAATGACCAGTCTGTAAAGCTACTGGATGGTAAAATGAAAATGAGTGAAAAGATCCCATTTAAGGCACTCATTGTGTTCTTCAAGCATCATTTAAATTTAGCCATTTGTCAAACTTAATTGCTGGAAATTTCATCTGATCTGTGTTTTGTGATAGGAAGCAAATTTTGACGTCAATTAAAAAAAAGTGAAATTCTCTTGGCTTTAGTGAAGTCAAAATTGCATCTCCCAGTGGAGCATCTGAATCTGTTTCAGCCCCAGAATTAGATAATTCAACAGCACATGTGGGTTGAGTTGTTTGGTTTTGTTTATTTGTTTTGTTTCTAATTCTGGGCTATGACAAGGAGAGAAAGGGGTTTCCAAACTAATCTCAAATGTGGTTATGAAAATTCAAAGAGTTTGCTAAACTGGCGCATTTGCTTTTTCTGTCCATGATGTTTCTTGAGTCAAGCCAGCAGTTATTAAAGACAAATAATTTGTATTAATTTTTGGCCTACTTTTTGATAATGTGTATTGTGGGCTGTGCTGGTTATATGCTATAAAAAAATTAGGTGTAGTTTTACTCTGGGATTAGGGTAGAGAATTCACATTATCCTTAATTTAGCCAGCTTTCAGAAAGCTGGAGATGTTCATTGTATTTGGTGGTAAATCTGATAAACATGTACAAAACTGTAATCAGCATCTTTCTCGGGTGTTCTCTTTCCATGTGTTGGACATGTGTTCATCAAGTAGCATTAARAGTAGGTTTACCACTCAAGTCAGTCAAAAATTTCTTTATTCTTTCCCCTTTTTACAATTTGTGCCTGGCCACTAACTTTCCATCAAGTGTGTGATTGCAGTTGCTGTGTTATTGTATCCACATTGTTTTTTTTTTTTTAATTGGAGGACACCTGTCAAATGCAACTAAGAAGCTGAGAAATCCGTATTTGTCAATTCAACAATATCTCTTGAGCTAGTGGGTTTTTTTTAGCCACCTGTCTTTAGACTGGATAAAAAATCGGCGGACATACCTGAGTTAAATTGTGGTTTGACATATTGATTATATTCACTCCCTTAGGTGGAATTAAGGGAGAATATGCATCTGGCTAAGCTTTAGCAGCATCTTCTTCAATGCTAAAATTCAAAAGGGTTTTCCTGTACAAACCCTTTGGAACTCCTCACAGTTAGGTAGACAACAAACAATCACCTCTTTCCTTTAAAATCTAGCAAGCTAAACTGGTATGATTTAATTCTATTTAAAAAAATTATTCTAAGTGTTTTAATATGGTTTTACTGTTAGTCTACTAAGATAATCACTTCTGAAATGTTAAGAAAATAGGCAGAGACCAGGTTCTTTGCCCTAAAGGAGATTGCCGTCTTGTGGAGAGACAGACAGTGCAGTACAGCCATGAATAACAAACAGCTTTACAAGGCACTCTTGTATTTATACAGTTATAAAAAACCAAACAGCTTCTTCTCAATAAATTAATTCTGTGGATTATTGACTTCATATTGACTTGAGAGGCTTTATATTAGGTATTTATTTTTCAGTCAAGCACTGGACTAAAGAACTACTAAAGGAAAAAGGTTTTATTGGTTTGCTTAACACTCATACGAACATCCTCAGAAATGTAAAAAGGGTATGTCTTGAAGCACTTTTTATTCCATTAAATATTACAGGGCCAGGTTGTCAACAAGAAACAGCTGAGGTTTTTGAATTTTTTTTTTATTAAGTGATATATTATTGGCATTAAGACCTGTTTTCTGTTGAGATTCCTAAGAGATGTAGCTATGTGCCAAATGCACCTAGATACTTAGGTACAATAATTGCTCCCAGTTATTTATGTAAGGTTTGATGCTTAGCTAGTTCTGACAGCCCTGCTGAATGCTTACCAGCATTGTTAGACACTTCAATGTTTTCCAAACCTGACTTGCTCTTAGCCTGTGAGGTGTCTTATTAATTTCAGCTACGTGATTAATTCATTCTTTTGAGCACAAACTTAAGTCCTTAGCTGGGAARGGTATCTGTGTATTTAATTTCAATTTTGTCATCATTCTTGTTAAATATTTGCCTCTGTCCTGTGGGTCAAGTGCTACCATCTTTACATTTTACTCTTTCCAGGACAACATCTAGCTCTATTAAAAAATTGAATTCTGCAGTATAGGAAATAATGAACTAATTGATTTCAAAGGTGTCAAACCTGTCTTAGCTGCATCACTTTTACATGTAAACGATGTGACTACAAGGCTCCTGTTAGAAGCAAAATTAGTTCGTTCTATAGCAGCATAAATGAGAGAAAAACTGGATAACCTGGCTTGGTACAAGTTTGCAAGTTATTTCTGTCCAGCTGCTTCTGAATTCAAAGAGCTAAAAGTGTGAGAATGATTCCTAAATCAGTGCAAAGTACCAGAACAGCTGATGAAAATCATTAAATAAAAAGCCACCTAAATGTGAGAATTTTCCAACTGCACTTCACTTATTCAGCTAATTTACAATGTTTTTGAACTGACATGAATTCTCTAAATATTTTATCAGAAGAAAGCTACAGGCTCTATTTGTGCCACTGTATAATGACTGAAAAACCTACTTATTAGGAATTAGGAAATATGAATTCTTATTATCCATCAGATTAATTCATAAAACATAATTTCAGCAGCAGATGGTTTGCTTTTGCTTTTCTGAATCTATGATATTCAAGCAATGAAGCCCTGAATACAAAATGTTAATAGTTACCAAGGAAATCCATCATYTCTTCCTAGGATTCAAAATGGACATACCTCAGAATGATCAATTCTGTTAGCATCATTCTAATTTCATTCTACTTTTTAAAGTAATTCTTTTCCATCTTCTGCATGTTCTGTGTCTGCACCTCTGAAATATTGGTCTTTAATGGTCCCTGCATTTAAAGGGAGCTTTATCTAAAATTTTCTCAAGGAAGTTCAAATTCTGTAACACCTAGGAAGGACATATTTAACACTGTAATTGAGGTCTACACTGTAACTGAAACTGTTCCTTTTAGTTTACTTGTGACTATATTACAGTAATTTGTTTTTAGAATTTTATTCCTTTACAGAATATTTTTAAACTGAAAATTAAAGGAAAGCATTACTAAATGCCACCACTGCWAACATTTCTTTCATTGTTGACCTTGGGTCACCTCTTCACTCTTCTTTGTAGACAAAAACACCTTTTCAGTAAAACAGGAAATGCTATGGAGGTATGGCTGAGTCTGACCTTAYTTATGTTTTTAAGTCTCTCCTTTCAACTGTCTGCCAGAAAAAAAAATCACTTGGGCAAAGTTCATTTAGACCAGCTTTACAACAAAGTGTAAACTTGAAACAGAGGACAGGCAGAAAAATCTCTTCCCATGAAGTCAATAGGAATCCATCTCCCTAAGATCTTTTTTATTCTTGGCACCAGTGATTTTTCTTGACTGATTTATTGGAGGGCACTAGTTTAACTAATTTGTCTTGCATAGGTATCTTTCCMATTCTGTCCTCTCCACTAGTACACAGCAATCTTCCCTTTAAAGGTTATTCCTAACCTGATCTGTCATAAAGCCATTATCATTAATTTGCGCTTTAGGAGTTCCTTTCACTTTCTAAAAACTATGAGATACATTTCTGATTTATGGGTTACAGTGTGACAGCCATCATATGCAAAGAAGATTGTTTATACTTACCACAGATGCCTTTGAATAAGAGGGAAATTTCAACCATATCCCCACTCCATCTGCTTTACATAATTGTATTCAATATCATAGAAGAACATGGCCATCTGTATTTTCCACTGTTCTCTGGGATATCGAATAGAATTTTATCTTTGTTCTGGCAAGTTCAGTAATCACATAGCAAATACAGAAGGTTTATAAAACTCCATTAAATTCCATAGGTTTTAGGAGGCATTTCCATGGAAACATACTTTTAATCCTTATACATAATTTCTCTGCAACTGATAATTAAAAAAAAATCTCAGATTACTGTGAACCTCATTAAATATACTTCAAAATCATGTGTTTAATGAAAAATTTAAGAAAAGCAAAGTATTTTTGATGTTTTTAGAAAATAAGAATAAGACCATTAAGTATGAAGTTCAGAGTGTACCTACCTAAACTAAACAGCACCAGGAATTTGAGACAGACAAATTCTCGTAGATCAAACTGTAGAGAACGAAGCTTTGCTACCAGTTCTTGTGCATGGCTCATAAGATTGTTGAGGGTGGCTCCAGCTTGGGATGCTATTACGGAATAATCCACCTGTAAGAGAGAATTTTATTCCTGTCTGGCTGTCACGTCCAAACTTTAGGATGTTTCAGGCAATAATATACAACAGGGATATTCCTGGATATAGAAATCATTCTCAATTTAATGATGTTAGCAAGTCAAGATGATTTTATATACTAACCAATTTTAACATGATATATATAACAACATATATTGAAAATAACATTAAACCATATATCTTAATGTTATGTCACATCACTCTGAGTGCTGGTTTGTCTGCATTAGCTTTTTTTAGAAGCTTTATTACAAAACTGCTTTTGACACTCGTAGCTGCCCCCATCTCTCTTTTACTCACTTGATGTCTCCTGTTCTCATTGTAATTGTATGGTCCTGAGAAGTATGACTGGTGAAGTGAGCTCCAGAGGGACACAGCAATATTCATGGGAAACAGTCCTGTGTCCAGAACTTGGCCAGAAACAACTATTCAAGCCCAGAAAATGTCGGTGTATTCCCACAGGAAACAGAGGTATTGTGTGGGTGGTTTCTGTTCTCTTCAGCCACACAAAATCCCTGTATTTGTTGGAGTTGATTYGAGCTCAGTTCTTGTGGCAAGTGCTGCTGTGCTGGGGAAGGAGGGCTGGCAGGTGTGTGACAGCACAGCTRCCCTCACATTGTCCCTGCAGCGACCAACCACAGCGCCCAGAGCTCCCTCCCTGGGGCAGAGGAACAAGTGGGGCTGCTCTGGGGTCTGCTGCCCCTTGTTCTCAGGGCAGGCTGACATGCAAGGAGCTTTCTGAGTGACACTTGTATAGAGAGATCAAAATTGGAATTATACACTTATTAAGAAAGGGAATATTCACAGGCACGTGATAGTTTATCTCTTATGCATAATTCTTGCTATAGATGCATTTATACGTATTTCTTTATGTATATACATATATATAAATAATAAAAAATAAAGTAGCATACCTCAGATAATTTTTACTCAAAGATCAGTTTAATGCAGTAACATGATTCTACTACTTTGTGTTGAGAAACTGGTCACATGTAAATATGAAATTTCATAACTTAATTTCCCTTTTGTAGTTGCTAAAAGGAGGGGAAAAGCTCAAAATCCCTTACTGAGCTTCCAATTTGTGGGGAAAATATGCTACTCACTTCATAATAAGAAGTTAAGATGTCTGAATGTCAAGAATATCAGTGGCCTTAGTGCAGCGATTATGCCATAATGGAAAAACCCAGAAGATGCCTGGATCTCCCAGCATCCCTCTACTGGAGAGCTCTCAGGCAACCTGCTCCTCTTTCAGGTGCATTTAATATTTGCAGCACCAGCAGATTTGTCTGGGAGGCAAGTCCTCATCTGCCACTCACCAGGAACAGGCTGTATTAAATTTTTATATTTATTGACATTTCATTACCATAATTGACTGCAGTTGGTTCTCTAGTAGAAGGCACAGGGCTGCCTCCTAAGCAGGAGAATTGGTCCCTTGAGTAGGATTTGCAATTAAAAACAACGCAGAATGGATTTTTTTTTTAATTGTGTAAATATGATGAGTTGAATTTTCAGCTTTAACTAGAGAATAGTAGGTGTGCAGAAGGCTTTTTTCAAGAGTGAGCAAAATTATGAGTCAGTGGAAAGACGACCCCCAAAGGTGTCAATCAGTTTATACAAAAGCAACTGTGCATGAAAAAGCCTCAGTTAATGTCTATTCTGAAAAAAATGGTCACATTAAAGACTACACTGTTCTGCTTGCTTGGTCCTGTATGCAGAAATTGATACTAAAAGGTGTATTAATTCTTTTACCTTCCAATTCATGATTAAAAGCACTTTTAAAAGACAAAGRTTAAACCAGTTTGGATTTTCTGCAAAATGCTCAATTGCATACTGAAGTCTTAGCATTTGCTTTATATTGTATATTTTACTTCATACTGTATATTGATTTCATTTGGTAAAATCAAATCCAGAACTGTGGCATCCCAGATAATACTACTACATTTCATATTGATTTTGATGTTGAAGGTGTTGTCTGGCATTTTTGAAAACAGGAGCTTTGGCAAAGCTTCCACATAACCTAATTTGGAATTAAAATGATGGGCTGAAGTTATGGCTGCACAAAGAGAAGTGTGARTTCCTCCTGTACCCTGGGCTAAATAAATGCTGTGGCTGATGGCCAAAAATACAGGGAACACCTGTGGTTTCTTTGTTTTGCAAGTGGTGTCTCATGGTAATGAATGATTTTTGAAGACAAATCCCTGGTTTTACTGAGCTCAGATAGCAATTCTGATAGAATCAGGCAGTGGCTTCTGTTATCAACTCCTCTCTATGCCTACAAAACAATCTAACACTTAATTGTGGAATTAAGTTCCTTTTTTCCTTCTAAACTTAAGCAGTGTTTGATTTCTAAAATATGAACGTGGTATGTAGAAACATAGTGTGGAACTGCAGCACCCCTTTTAATGCTTCAGCAAGCTTGAAATAGTCTCTAGAATATGATTAGAATGATTGTTAATGGCTGTTGCCAGGTACTGACCATCCCTGAATACCATTCCTTTCAGCCAGACAGGTACTGTACAAGTAAGGAATAAAGGCCCTGCTGTGGCTTTATATGATATATAATCAGACTGAGGCAGTTCAAGTTGGTGAAAGATTGGTTTCATATTTAATTTAGTAAATTAGACTACTGTGTGTTTGGGATACGAAGGCAGCTGCTGGTGCTCTAGGGGCTGCAGCCCTGGCCAGCACCTCTGGCTGCTGCTGGGGGTGCTCCCCCACTGCCCCCTCCTCGGCTACAAACAGCYCTGAAAGCCTGGAGATGATCCACAGTGACCTGCCCTGGGTCATCGAGTCCTGACCCTGCTCTGAGGGTGGATGAGTCTCATCTCAGAAGCATGCATTCAGGACATAGCAAACAAGTTAATTTACCGTTGCAACCTTGSCGCTGTTTCCTGAAATATATATTTCAGTGGAAACTGCAGTGGTTATTAAACTCATTTTGAGCTTTTCATAGGATTTTTTTCATTAAAAACAGTATTTCTGTTATGTTTCTAAACAAATAAACATGGAAAATACTTGGAAAAGGTACTACATACAAAAATTGATGAAGTTTCAGCATGGACAAAACCCATAGATATGCTTGTACCTGCTGGTTATCAGGTTYGGATATATTAATTAAAATTGTGTTGACTTATGCAGCATAAGATGCTTGTCATTTTAACATGAGACACAATAATAGAAGATAATGAATTAAGTTGCCAGTGGCCCTTTCCCCTAGGATGATGTTATGGTGCTTGATAATTAACTATAATATGCAAATAGTAACACTCCAAAGTACTGCAGAGTACAATAGAATCCTTTTCTTTACCAAAATGTTATTATAAAATGTACTTTTGTGGTTATTTTATATAGACCAGAAATTATATGGAATCACTGCTGAGTTTGATATTCAGTAAACTTCATCAGAAGACAGAGCATCACTGGTAATTTTTTGGTAAATATCTGACATCTCATCAGGCTRTGGTAACTCAAACTGCTTCTTCAGGACCTTTGAACCCTGTAAGTTCATTTTATTACTCTCTTATCTTACACAAATTTCTGCTCTACTATTTTAAATCCTTTCCCACCAATGACTGCAGACTGGATGTGCTCACTTTGGATCCCATCACTATCACTGCTCCAACAGGCATTTGGAACAGACTGTTGGGACAGGTGCTTTCTTCAAACTGAGTCTCTGAACAACTTGTCYCTCAAGCTTAAAATCAGATATGGGATTTTACAAGAGTTTATGTTGATAAATTAGTACACTGGCATGGGACTTGTTTGGAAGACTACCCGGCTTGAAGAAATGTTGCCAGACTTCAGGCAAATAACTTTTGTTTTCTTTATGGGAGCCATGTGTATGAAATACAAAAGAAATATATTTCCCATGAACGCAGCAGAGTTAGTGTGTAGGAAATGGAAAAGTTCTGGCATGCAAGGATTCATGTTGGTTGCTCTTTCCATGAATTTTTACTGGAACTGGAATTTTAGACTTAAAAGCATAATGCTATGATGGTTTCATGGCAACATAGCAAAGCACATGTAAATTGGGATTGGGTTGTTCACAGGTATGTCCACAGCTAATTGAAAGGCTTAAAATGTGTAATAAATATTTGGACAAACATGAATTCAGGGACTTCAYGGTTATAACTGAATTTTGGTGTTTTTTACCCAGTGTAAATGAGCACATCTAGTTCACCCCCAAGAAGCAGCCAGCATAATATCTTYGTATCTTCATAAGGCATGAGGCACTTTTAACAACTAGGACAACCGTATTTTGCTTTAGGCAGAAACTAAAGACTTAGACTAAGAAACTATGCAAGACAGCAAATACTATACTGAGTAGCAAAATAATGATTATTGACCCCATTTGTATCTACCTTGAATCAAATCCTGGGTTTATTTGCTCATGTAAGGACTTCTAGATGTGGCCCTCAAACRCCAATGCCTTTTTTGTGCCTGCTACAACTATGAAGCCTCTGTGACTACAACCACAAATCTAATGGGAAAATGATGCCTCTTAATTTCCAAAAACATAACAAGTAATRGGTTTCCACTAGATATCCATGGCTTTCTATACCTTAGACCGGTGTATGTCGTTTGCAGTCACTCCTTCAACACTTTACTTTTTGTACTTCAGTGGTACTTCTGCAAGGGTCATTGTTCTTGATAACACCATCAAGATTTTGTGCTCTTTCTCTGGTGCTTCACTTTGGAATACAAATCCAGATGTAAAGATGCATTTGTGTGATGACTTCAAGTAAATCAATAGTTTCAACAGTCTCAAATCTGGGATTTAGAAACATTTTTGGATGGCCTTTTTAATTTGAAAGGCTTTGGCCAAACTCTGCTGAGGSAATGTTTGGCAACAATGAGTAGACTGTAGGTATGAACAAAAGGAGCAGATTTTGTCTGGCCAGGTGAGGCTACAATTCATATGTGGTGCATTGATTTGCAGGAAAATGCAGGAACAGCATAATGCAGAGCTTTAGTATCTACCCTGTGTGTGCTGGGGCTTGGAATCTGGCAGTGTGATGCTAGTAGGGAAGATACAGGAGGAAAATGCTCAGGTTGGAGGAATTAAAATTCTATAATTAGAAATGGTCTGTTAAAATTACATGCCACATGGCAAGCCTACAAAACTCAGCATGTGGAGAGCATATTGGCAATGATTTACAATTAACCACCACATTGCRAATCACTCCTTAGCTGTTTTCTATTATGAAATTTTGAGAGTTGTAAAATGCATTTGTGCTACTTTATTTCCTTTTGAAATGGTAATTGCTACTGCTGAGGGGCAGTACTTAGTGCAGAAAATGAAGTGTGCAGCACAGGGAGGAACTTGTTTCTGAGGAACTGCTGAGGAATTGTAATGATCTGAAAAAAGTGCTTTCTTGAAACACATGCACACAAAAGAGCTTCATTTATGAAACCCCAAATAAATAACAAAATAAAATAAAACACAGTCTTTTTTTATGCAAGGGCCAAAGCTTACTACTTTGTTGCTGACTGCACTTTTTCCCCGTTGAAGTGGGAACAGTGGATTGACACTGGGTAAAACTCATAAGCCAGTGGCTTAAGGGAAATGCAGATGTATGGAAATGTGATAGGAGTGCCCCAAAGTAATGGGTTTTGAGCCAGTGTGTTTGAAATTATCAAGTGTTCTTGTAACTACCGGCCCATTTTAGATACCTAGTATAGAACTGACGGGGATGGCCCTGGGGACCCGGATGAAGTTTGATTTTTGTGACTGAGGAACAGAGGCTGTGCAGTCTAAGTGGAGAGAGCAGGTATATTCTAATTAAATGATGGCGAGTTCCCCCCTTACAGCTTCTACCTTGATTGTGATTGTAAAAAGGACTGTGTTTATGAGTAGCTTTTATGGAGGGATATATTAAGGGAAGCGAGGAGTGAGGCTTTTCAGGTCTTAAATTTGCTAACTTGTGACAATAATCTTGATCTCTCAGGTAATAAAGTTGGCAATCCAACTCAGGTCCTCAATTTAAAGTTATTATCTTTGAAAGCTGGATGATTGACTGTAATTTTGCTCATAGTGCTTGTTGGTAGCAGAAATAAAAACATCTGCAGCACTTTTCATCAGAAGTGTCAGAGTGCTTTCCACACCTTAATCAACTAATTTTTATGAAATGGTGGCATGGTTTATCCCTGTCTCTTCTGTGGGAACCGAAAGGATCAGGACAGCGATCAGAAAGTATGCAGCACTTAGTGCACTAGCAAAGTCTCACAATGCCCAGGTGTAGAAGTGTGGCTTCCCAGAATTATTTTACAGTTTTTTACAGAGRATACAGACACAGTCATAATTATCCTTTCATAAATACRTCTGAACAGATGTTGYGTCTTAGAATGCAATAGTGCAAGTTAATRCTTCCAAGATGCTCCATCTTGACAYTTAGGAAAAGAGACAATTGTATTGGATCAACTCATCTTAAAAGTAACTCCCAACTGAGCTAGGATGTGAAAAGGCAGTGTACAGCAGCTGAAGCCAGGAATGGCTCTGGACAAGTAATGAAGAAGTACCATCCATGTCCACTGGCACGTAAGAGGTAATGTTAAAAAAAATGTTCAGCTATAGTTGAAACTTGCAATGGATGTCAAMTTTCTAGTCTGGGATAAACCAGGAAAATGTGGGACTGCTGCTGGATTCAGATGGTGATTTTGTGGCAGTAAGCAAAGAGCAGGCTTAGGTTCTCAGTGCCACCTTTGCTTCAGTCTTTCCTAACAAGATCTCCTGGGCTCTGTGAGTTGCATCAGGGCTCAAGGAGGAGAGTGATRAGCACTGGGTGTAAGCTGGAAAAAGCCAAGGGTTCATAGGAAAACTAARGAAGAACTTTCTCCCCATGGGGAGAATGAAACTGGGACAAAGGAGGGGCATTACGRGTAGATTTCAGAAACAGCAGCCAGAGCCTGTGTAATTTCTTCAGGTCTAATGTCTCCCTATTTCTCAAAGAGAATCTGTGGAACATCTATGGGAGTATGTTCTGCAGCTGTTCTGTTAGSAATTGGAAATGGGAAATGGGRAAAAGGACTGACTGTAGAGCAACAGAGTTCTAGTAATATGGCTTCTGCTCTCAGCCTAAGTGCAAAGAGGAAAATAGAGAAGGTGATGGGAGACTCTGGTGTTGCTTGCACCAACTTAAAAAGTACAAASTTTGGCATAGGAAAGGAAATTTGGTTTAAGAAGGATGTATTAAAACTATTTTACAAACGTGGGCAAAAATGGATGCAGTCATTTCAATGGAGCCAGATTTTAACCTATWTGGAGACTGCCTGGAAATACAGAACTCCCAAACCCAGCTGCTGATTTGCAAGCTGGGTACATTAATAGCTGGGTACATAAGTACATTAATAAGCATCCTGCTACCTGTTGTCCAACAGTGAAGAAACGCTCTGCTTTGCCTTGAGATCATGTACAGCTGGGTTTTTTATTTTCAAGAAAGATAAAAATGGCTTATGAGGTAAAAATTATTACTGTGGGAAAATGGGGACAATGGCTAGAATTTAAGGGTAGTTAGATRTCTCTAATGATTTCAGTGGGATTTAGGCACTCAGTACCTTTSTAAACTAGCTAATCACATAACAAAGAGACACTAATTTAGCAGTTCTCTCAGGAACAGAAACTTGTCAATATACTTATAGCTTTGTAAACACAGGAACAAGCAAGCATCCTRTGTGGTAAATGAAATAATTGCCAGTAAAATTGTCTTTTTCAGAGGATGAAGTGGGAAGGGAATCAGTCATTTTCTCAATAGCACCCATATAAATCAAGACTAAGGCAACTAAACTAGCTTTTGCTGATATAATTAAGGASTGCAATGATATCTGAGGTAGGTAGTGACTTGCCACAAAGTGCAGGAGTCAGTTCCATAGCTAGAATTTGAATTTTCSTAATTCCTTTCTTGGACAAGGCAATAATTTCTCCCTTCTACTGTAGACCTCTTAATCATAAATGCAAACAGAAGRATCAGAATCCTTATTCTTATAAATGTTTGTTTTAGTCATAAGAAATGACTGCAGCTTTAAAATTATAGCTCAAGCTGTAAGCAGATTCCACAACGTGCAGACACAAATGGTGTAGCACCGAAAAAGGAGCTCTTTCCCAGGTGTGTATAAATTGAGGCAGTTCAGTTTGCAGCTACTTAAATACCAAAGAGCTGTCATTTGTTTTCACTTCAAGTCAGAAACATAATGTACAGGCACACTTTGCTTTGAAACTGCCTTTTCTTTATTTCTGTTAAAAGCAGAATAACAATCTTAGGAATAAAGTTCTTGTTTTACTGTCAAGTTCCTWATGCTTTGGAAAGTATAACAGAGACAAAACTTTCTTTTGTGTTTTCTCACAGTTTTCCTAATATTTYCTACATTAGAGATCTTGCATTTTGGGAGATGCATGTATCTGACACATGAAAAAAATGAACCACTGAAAAACTGCCCCACTGCAGGGTGCATACCCTGAGACAGTTTCTGGGACAATACCTGCTTTCATAGCCTATGGACAGAATAATTTTCCTGAGATTAGATGTCTCAGCTGCTCAGTTTCTCACACATGTGCATAAGTGTCTAAAAGCAAGGTATTTCTGGGGTAGTAAGAAAGAGGTTCTCTAGATTTCTGACCCCGCTGGTGCTTCTTTTCAGTAAATCACACATCTGAAGGGAGGRAAAGCTATACTTGCTTAAACCTAAAGCATTCAGTATGGAAGTGTTGTCAGAAACCATTTCAACCCCAAGGAAATACTACTCTTTGAGAAATACTTCTCATCTGCTATTTTTCAATAACTGAAGTATTTGAAAAGCAAAGTGTTTATGATTATATCTGTTTTTTTTAGGTTTATCTGTAATCAGCAGACTAGAAAAAGAGTGCACAAGTGATTTTACCTACAGTAGTTGTGGAGGACCTCTGAGAACAYAGGAGTGCTTCTGACCTAGTTAAACTCCTGCTATTATGTAAATTATTAYAAAAACAAGACATCCCTATTTCTCTCAGACCACATACTCACTTGTTGCCCAGTAACCAGAAGGATGGAGCCCTCTTTCCCATGTACCACTTGCCGGTAAATGTGATCTARAATTAAGAGTTCGCTCCAGCAGTTCTGAAGCAACTTCATTTGGTCATCAACCTGTAAAGGAAACACAAACATTGGTGACATTACTCTGGGAGTAAGTCTGACATCACACTATGGAGCCAGTTCTCCTTCACTCAGCTGGCTAACACCATGAGAACAGAGATGCTGTCTAGAATTCTTCATCCACAAAATTGCTATTCTCAACTGATTAAACAGAACACTGCTGTAACCTTTATCTGTATAGAATACTTACTCCTGATTACGGAAGCAGAACTATGGCATTGCCATGCAAGTAATATTAATTGTATATTTATGGCAATGGAATTTTATTTTTACTCAAAGCAAGAAGAGCAGGAAATAATGCTGATGTGAACTTTCTCATACTCCCATTTTTGAACCTCAGTTTCTGGAAATAATAAGGGATCTGCAGATTCACAAACATTATTGYTGCAACAGGCCTATGACAGACATAGGTCCCTCACAAAGAGAAAAGTGAAGAGAGATTAAAAATCTTTCTAAAAATGGCTGGTACTATGAAAAGAGGAGAACGCTTCTCAATGAGCGGAAGCTGAGCAGCTTTGGGTGTCACTGGTAGGGTAAGAAAGGGCAGTGTGTGAATCAGTGGTGAGCAGTGAGTCAGTGGTGAGCAGTGAGACACATCACTGAGTGTATTTGGGGATAGAAAGAACATAGTGGGCACCCAGCACAAGGAGCCTACATGAAGATTTTCTTAAGTTACTTGGATTGTACATTTTAGAGGACAATGAAATGTATCCCTAAACTGACTCTAAATGCAACTGGACTGCATTCAGATTTCTTCACATAGAGACTGAAACATAATTAGGATTTCTATGGAAATGGGAGGAAGAAAAAAAATCACAAATTAGTGGAAGGTAGACTGTGAAATGAAGTAATGGTAAGCATCGGTGTACTTTGAACCTATTCTTACTGAGCTTACTGATTTCTTTTTAAAATCAAACAAATTCTTTGACTTTAAATGGGTGCCCTGAAAGAGTTGAGAGATGCATACGGTAGCGTTGCTGCAATTCCGTGTGGTAATTGCACCTATCTAGTTGAAAGGACTCTAAGAACCTGCATAGATAGCAACTGCTAAACATTAAAAATACTATCAATCAGGATAAGTAAAACATAAATAAGCATATTTTGAGTGGAGAAATATCAAGAATTTCTGAGACATGGAACTATTACAATTGTTTTTCAGGGGTTCTAGTTTCAATTGCTTTAGAACTAGATTTTGTCATACACAGGAAACCACACTACAAGGAGTAATCCTACATGAGCTGAGTTAAATAATGCAGTAGATGTATTCAAGTTTTATCAAATATGACCTAATGAATTTTACAAMTTTATTTGTTCAGGCTTGTTTTCTGGTTGTGTAGTAGAGAAGGAAGCAACATTTCTTACAAGCAGATTTTTGTAATGTCACCTGTGAAAGTTCCCTACTATTGTCTCCCTCTTTCCTAGGGAAAGCCACATAGCTCAGACTTTAACCTCTGAAACACTGAAATCTTTGCCTCTTCCCTTCATCTTAACTTCCTCTCAGCTTTCAAAGGCACAAGAGCCTGTGTTCAGCAGTTCATGTTGTCCCACACAGATAGACAATAAGGCTGATTTGGTGTTAAAAATCTCTTCCTCTGCCCACACCATGTATTTGACTACAAAACCATTTCAACCAAATTATTTGTTGGCTCAAGAGAGGACAGTAAATTACAACATTGATACACTTGGGCTATGCTAAAATTAATTATTTGAAAAAAAACTTTGAAATGTACAGAATCTGGTACTTTTGCTTTTGAYTCTTCTTCGATCATTTTCTCCTCTGAACAAAAAGGTGTCGGAAAAATCACAAAAATCAAAGAAATCATGCTAACATGATAATGTCATCCAAATTACCATTTCACACAAAGCTATCACAACTTATATCTGAAGAAAACAAATTGTGAGAGTTTAAACCTGCAGCATCTGTGTGTAACACCTAATACCTGAATAAGAGGTCAAGAATTTGACTGTACTATAAATGACTATTTATTCAGTGTAAGCCAGCTGTCTCAGCCACAGGCTTTTGAAAACAAACTGCACTTGACAGGTCTGGCTTTCTGAACATACCAACAGCCGCCAGTCCACAATCAAAGCTTGCTTCCCAAGCTTTATCCTATCATTACCGAGCCAGTGCTGTGAGAACAGTGTGAGATGGCAAAATCACAAAAACATCGTTTTGCACATAGTCTGTTCCTGCTGTTTTGCAAGACTTACAAAACTAGCACAGCAAACATCTGCTAGTGGTTCACAAAATCGACTCCTCTGTGTTCACAGTAAGTGAAAGCCCATAAAATGGATAGCATGAACAGCACTATACACATCCCAAACACACTCACAGCAAGTGAAAGCCCATAAAATGGATAGCATGAACAGCCCTATACACATCTCAAACACTGTGTTGCCTGCTGAAGACTATTAGATCCAGCTGCTTCTGCCATTTTAAGAAAGTTGGTGCAGCAGCAGAATATTTCCCACTTTGCCCTCAGAAGAAAGAGGCATGATTTTGATGAGGATTGTGTATTACTAAAAGGTAGGACAAATGACCAGGTCCAACCTACTTCTGAAAGACATGTAGAGGAGGAAAAGCACTTGGATCGCATTAAACAAAACCAGTAATGCACCATTTCTTATGTTAGAATGAGCTGGTGAAGTTTATGACATGTGCCAGAACACAAACACCTTTGTGTTCTGTGCCACATTGATAAATGAGTTGCAGAAACATATTATCCGTCAAAATGAGAAAATCAGCCTTTGACCGAAACAATTTCGTGGCTTAAACTGAATGTGCCTTAAACTGATCCTGAAGGCAAAGAGACATAAGTTTGGTTCTGAAGAGGAAAGTCCTCTGCAGAAAAATCCTCCTGTAGCTTTCAGTCTTCTGACTCCAAGGCCAGAGCAGGCTGCTCAGCCATTAACAGCGTAAGCAGGAGAAAAGGTAAGATTCTGTCAGCAAGATAGTTGAGAGTTCAGCCTGKGACTAGACATAATCAAAAACATTTTCAATTGTGGCATACAATGAAATAGAACATGATCACAAGATTACACTACTGGCTAAATTTTGAGAGTTTTTTCAGTTTGTGGAGATCTTTAAGAGTATAATCAATGTTTTAACATCCACAAGAAAATCATTCCTGTTGTTCTAATTACTAGTAATGCTTATAAATAAAAGTTAAGCATCATATGGCCAATACCCCCTGCTACAAGAGCACTCCCCAAATCTGCAGCTGCTCCCTGCCATGGCAGAGCACTGACACAGGGATGATGTAACCCAGCCTTACCTAAGCAAGCTGTCAAACAAGATACCCATTTGACAGCTATGGAGCCTCAAGCAAAAACATGAGTGAATACTGTTAAATTTAGGTCCTCTTTGGCCAGCAGCATTCAGATGAAGACACAGCAGTGAGGACAGCTTAACTGGAAATTGTTGCTGAAGAAGTGACTATTAAAGAAAGACGTGGAGGAAGGTAATGAAGGGTCTGTGACTCAAAAGAAACAGTAGATAAATTCCAGCATGTAGGGTGGCATGAAAGAGGAAAAATGCTACAAATATGAAATGAGTAAAACATCACACGTGTAAAGCTGCTATGAAGTGACGATGGAAGGAGGTGGCTTGAAAGGAATGGAATGGGGAGGCAGTGTGGTGGGAGACCAAGGGGAGCTGGACATTGGATAAAACCTTGTAGGTGAGGAGGATCAGATGCAGAGTTAGAGACTTTGTATGACAGCAAATGATGCAGCTGGGGCAGACAAGGAGCAAGTACTGTGTGTTGGAAAAGCAGAGGATAGTGGCTGTCAGCAGCACAGGTGTGGTATTGTTCATCTCACAGTGAAYTTGATTCTGCTAAGTGTCTCAATACAGGTTTGAACACAGAATTCTGTGATGGTGTGTCTGAGTTCCTGCATTGCCAGCTGGAATTATAAGGTGACTTTAAATAATTTTTTTCTGAACTTTACATTAACAAGGATTGGAAAACAGGCATGCATAAGAATACATTTAGATGCATCTATTAGTTTGCAACATTTATCTTGCCAATATAATGCAAGCCACATAGAATATTTGCAGGAGTGGAGGAAATAGATTCTCAGTTTGAAGTGTAGAAGTCTAACCCTGAGCACTGTGGTGACACACAATCTCTTGGCAGGAGAAAAAGATGGGAATTGGAGTGTGACATCTGCCTGCTAAATCCTGGCCCCCCTCAGCTRGGCCCTAAGCTTTTGATGTGAGATTCAGTGGAAGTTTGTAAGTCTTGCTGAGGCCTCTATTAACACTGAAATACACAATCACACCTTATCAATTGTAGTTAAAGGAAGGACTTATCTCAGAAATGCTGGTTACTCATCTGAAAAACTATTTGTGCTGATGTTATAGATGAGGAAGGCTAGTGTGACACAAGAGTAGTATTGTTGTAGAGTGTATGCTTCCCACAGCACAGAACGTTAATCATTATAAACCTTTGTTTTCTCTGGAAAACAACATTGAAATTGCCAAACAGTAAAATGAAGAATAATGTGTATGCTTTGYTGAAATTCACCTTAATCTTATCAAAACCACACTGTTGCTTTCTTTTAGCTAAGTGTTTCACAATATTTCACATACTGTAACCAACAACTGCAGATTTATTATGATTTTTCTTCTGAAGAGGTATTTTCAGCCTATCATTTGATGAATTACCTGTTAAAAWTTTCAGGGTCATGGGTTTTTTTGTGTTGCTCCAAGTTAAATATTTTCCTTATAATTATTGCTTCAGATTCAGTTAAACAATGCGCTCACCTTTTACCCAGTTTACACATCCCTTTCTCAGAAGYTGGAGAATCCTTTTTCATCTCTGCTCATTTACACCAACTTGCCACTGTAGCTTTGGGCTTTTCTGCTACTAAAAATTTAGAAGGGTATCTAATGATTAAAAAAAATATGATAATTGAAATTTATGTGATAAAACGGTGCTGGATTCAGCTGAATTGTTTTTACTTATGCTTCTAAGAGGGAATGCAAA